TTACTAGTGAAATTCACGTTTGCCACTAAAATTAATTTATTTCATCCGTAGTCACTTAAATTAGGGTAACAGTCCAAATTTGGTCACTGACCGTTACTCTATGTTAACTTTTGCTGATGTGGCGGTCAACTCTCACTGTTGACCGTTAAGTGAGGGACGTGGCAATTAAAAAAATAAAATATATTTTTTATTTTCACCTTATTATTATAAAAAAATCCGCCCCATATGAAACACTTTCCCACGGACACCTCCAACCCGAACGCCGACGAGGGGTCCTGCGCTTCGGTGGCGCTGAAGACGTGGAGCGACCCGATGACGTTGGAGGCGACGGCGAAGGCGTGAGTGGACATCAGCGTGGAAATGCGGGAGGGAGGAGCCCACGAGGAGACGAGATCGAGCGTCTTCGATTCTTGGTCAGGATGAGTTGCAGGATCGAACGTCTTCGATTCTTGGTCAGGAAAACAGAGTATCCGAAGCGGCCTTCAAACCCATTCTGCAGGGCTCCGCAGAGCAGAAGGAGCACTAATACACGACAGGGTCGCCTGAAGGAGACTGCGCGTCGCGGAGCTGTAATCCGGGTAACGGGTGTTCTCCACCAGGTAGTCCAATGCATTATTCAGATCGGCCTAGTAGCCGGTGTAGGGATATTCACCGGCGTGTGTGCAGTCCAAGAGCACCAAGTTCTGATCGCCCGCAGCCGCGTCGGTGGCAAGTGAGGAAAACGCAATCATTCCGACGGCGGCCAGGAGGAAGAAGCGGAGGAGCACCGACGAGGACTTGCAGAGGGAAGATGAAGAAGAGGAACCCATTTGTTGTGTTTGAGTTTTTGTTTTTGTAAAAGGCTGGGATGATCGTGATCAGGGGAAACAGAGGAGCTGTATGGAGACAGAGTGAGCTTCGTGATCTATATGTACGGTGGCAGTGGAAATCAAAGGGGTGTTTTATGTGCGCATGTGTTTCGTCTTTGGTGGTAGGTACTTAGGGGTGGAAGTTTGGGTTGCGGGTTGTGGATAATTCGCAAACCGCACCAACCCGTATCTATTGTGGGTAATCATACCCACAAGTTATGGGTAGTGGGTAGTAAAATAACGATTTTTATGGTTAGTGGTTATCCACTACCCGCCGCGGGTAACCCACAAAATCCACAATAACCACACTAATTATATTTATTTAGTGAATTAACTTTATAATATAATAGTATGTGAAAAGTGCGAGGATAAAAATTAAAGTAGCCATCAAATAAGAAAGACACACCTAATCAATAGAGTGGAGAATAATCAATTCATTAAAAGTGAACACCTTTTGTAACTTTTATCAGTATGTTTTTGCTTTTGTGCGAAAAAAATACAATATCATATTTAATTGTCATATTTCACCTCTAGTCGGGGATATATGAAATCACAACTCTCTGACACAAAAGTTGAATGCCAAACTCAAAAGAAAAAAATCTCCACGTTGAGTAAGATCGATGTACAAAATTGTATCTCCACGAACAACACAAGTGTATATCACTAGAATCTAGTTACGAACAACAAATACGTTAGTGGCGACTAGAACTCTATGCTTGCAAAGATGGATTTTTGCGGGTAACCACACCCAACCCGCACAAACCCACAGTGGGTAGTGGTTACCCACTAACCACTGCGGTGCGGGTTATGGATAGCATAATTGTGAATTTGTGGGTGTGGGTACCCACACCCACCCCAATTTCCACCCCTTTGTAGGGTATCAATATAGAGGGTGTAATAACTGTTATGGTGTCTTGATTTGCTGTACTTCTTGTTCTATGTAGGTCAGAGCACATAGGTAGAGGTCTGATCAAGAGTCGAAGACGCTCGATCTCGTCTCCTCGTGGGCTCTTCCCTCCCGCATTTCCTCGCTGAAGTCCACTCACGCCTTCGCCGTCGTCTCCATCATCTCCGAGTCGCTCCACGTCTTCAGTGCCACCGAAGCGCAGGACCCCTTGTCGGTAGGGGTGTACATGGGTCGGGTGGTTCGGGTTTAACCATTTTAATCACCCAACCCATGCACTGCGGTTTGGAAATTACCAAACCCAAACCCACCCAAAAAAATTAAAACCCTACGGTTTGTTTCTAATTGGGTTGGGTCGGGTTGGCGATATTTTTAAGTAAAAACCCAACCCAACATAAAATATATAATTATTATACATCATAAAAATATTTTATAACTAATTAAAATTTCAAACGAATAAAGCGAGGTGAAAGGTATCAAAATTTAAAAAGGTTGTTTGAATTTTAATAAAATGTGATTTACTTCAACATATGTCTAGTTTTTTTCACGATATTTGTTGAAATAGGCTAAAAAGGTTATAAACAAACGCATCCATACTATGTTATTCTATTAAATTTGTACACAAGAAAAAGGATTACGTGAATCATAACTATATTCAATTTATGTCTAAACTTTAAGTCGAAAAATGCATTAGATTAGGGAGACCATGATAGAAAAACATGACAAAATATCTTAATTTTCTCATAAGTATTGCTATATACGACATAAATATTTTTTAGATACGAACTCATACTAATAGTTGGAACACGGGTTGGGTCGGGTTCTACGGGTTGTGTAATCCAAAATCCAAACCCAACCCAAAAAAGGCGGGTTGTACAAAAGAAAACTCTCACCCAACCCAAAACCTTCGTTTTAGCGATAAATACGGGTGGGTTGGACGGGTGGGTCGGTTTGCGGGTGTGTTTGTTCACCCCTACTTGTCGGCGTTCGCGTAGGAAGTGTCCGTGGGAAAGGGTTTCATATGGGGCGGATTTTTATTTTATTTTTATAATAATTAGGTGAAAATAAAAATATTTTTTTAATTGCCACGTCACTCACTTAACAGTCAACAGTGAGAGTTGACCACCACATCAGTAAACGTTAACGGAGACTAACGACCAGTGACCAAATTTGGACTGTTACCCTAATTTAATTGACTACTGATGGAATAAATTGATTTTAGTGGCAAACGTGAATTTTACTAGTAATTCAAGTGACCAAACTTGCAAATTAGACCTAAACTAGGATACAAATTAGCGATAATTTTTTCGTCCTTTGTTCTCATGCTAAAGGAGAACCTCCAATGTAAGTAAACATATTCCATTTGTTGATAAGATGATTAATCTTGTTTTGACTCTTCTAGTCTCTATTGACTAAACTAGGATACAAATTAGCGATAATTCTCTCGCAGATTGTTTTATATTGAATGAGATATAATCGATACTTTTAGAGATGTTATTTTGAGCGATTTCATTAATCTCAAAGACGCCGTGTACGTTTAAGATAATAAAATTTATTTGACATTTTTATAGTATTATTTTGTTTGAAATCCCCCTGTTGAAATCCTGGCTTTTCCACTACAACCCATAACTATTTTTTTTGGTCGTAATTAGTTGTTGCCGCCATAGCTAGATTTGGTAAGGGTCTGGTCAGATCCATAACTGGAGTTCTTTTGGACGTAACTGGTCTGATTGTTAGACCCGTAATTGTCACGTAACTGGTCTGATTGTTAGACCCGTAATTGTCACAGATGAAATCTCAAAATCCACGTATTTTCAAAAAAAATCTCAACGTTATAAAACATTCCCAAAATATACATGTTTGGGCATCATTGAGGTTGTCAACCGCAGTAAATGCATGCACCGCGGTAGACGAAAGCGGTGAATGCATCACCGCGGTTGACGGCCGCAGTGAAAGCCTGACCTAACACCGAAACTTTAAATGAACTTAATTTTGCGCTCGTTATCCAATTGTAGCGAATATTTTTTTGATTCCGCATAACTTTTCAAGATCTTTCAATCTGCAACATCTCTTCATCTAAAAAAATGTCATTTGTTACCCCGAACGAGCAATTTTTCGATTTTGCCAAACTTTGGAAGGCCATAACTTTTAACTCCTCAATCCGAACGTCGTAAAGTTTTTTTTGATTGCGCATAAATTTTCAAGAACTACAAATTTTACTAGGAAAGAATTTTTTTAAAAAATAAATATTTTTAGGTATACAGGATTTTGGGAATAACTTTGCCTTTACTTTTCACAAATCTACATACATTCCAAAATTATGGTAATAATCAAAGTTGTAGTCCTGCAAAACTTATGCAAAATCAAAAAAAGTCTCATGACATTCGGATTGCCGAGCACAAATTTATGGTCTTCCAAAATTTGTCAAAATCGAAAAATTGCTCGTTCGGGGTTGCAAACGATTTTTTTAGATGAATGCTTGTTACATATTGAAAGATCTTGAAAAGTTATGTGGAATCAAAAAAACATTCGCTATAATCGGAAATCGAGCACAAAATTACGTTTGTTTGAAGTTTCAGTGTTACGTTAGACATTCACCCTCCACGACCGTCAACCGCGATGATATATTCACCGTTTTCGTCTACAGTGGTGAATGCATTCACTGCGATTGACAACCGTAGTGATGCCCAAATATGTGTATTCTGGGAAATTTCTTTATAACGTGTGTATTTTGAATTTTTTTAAAAAAAACATGTGTATTTTGTGTTTTTTTTACTTGTCACCATCACCTGTTATGATGAAATAGTTTTCAGTTGAACCTTGCAACAACAATGACTTCATGGCCCAATGGATAAGGCGCTGGTCTACGAAACCAGAGATTCTGGGTTCGATCCCCAGTGAAGTCGCTCTGTTATTTAATCTATTTTTGGAAAGAGAGAAGAGGAACAATGGCCGACCTCTCATTCTGGGTGTGAAGTCGCTCTGTTATTTTTATCCTTTTTTTGGAAAGAGAGAAGAGGGACAATGGCCGACCAGAGAGGGGAGAAGCAAGCAGAGCAGTGAAAGTGAAGAAACACATCGAACGAGATCAGTAAAATCGCCGGCGTTATGTCGCACCCAATTTCAACATCCTCTCCATCTCAGCCATTGCTCTCCGTCTCTCGACTCTATCCGATACTTCTTTAGCTTATTTAACTCCCATCGTATGGTAAAAGTATGAGAATGAACACTGAAACTAAGCTTCAAGAGGCCAATAGTTTCATTAGGTAACGATCAATAAGCAATTACAGAGTCTTTCTGGCTTTCATCGTGATCTACATTCTATGGGGAAAAAGAAGGGATGGAAGGATGACAAAGAAGCTTATGATTGCTGGACGCTGAGAGAGCTTTCTATGCGTTGGATGAGTTGGTCTCTGGGCAATGCACCTTCCTGAAACCCACAGTCCAAAACCCGAAATTTAACAAAGCTTGGCACATTGAGAACCGTTGTTCATGGAATTATGAAATAGATGGGGAAATGGAACACTTACAAAGCGATCAATAGGCTTCCCGTCTTTGAACAGGATGAAAGTGGGCAATGCCTGGATGTCGTATTGGTTAGCAATGGCGGTGTACTTTTCGGTATCGATTTTCACCACCTGGACTGTGTCGTTCATGATGATGCTCACTTCCTCCAGAATTGGCACCATGAATTGACACGGTCCACACCTGAATTATGAACTGGTTCGGATGAATGGTGATCTTGGAAAGGACAGAGAGAAATGACCATTGAGGATATGGGAAATCATATGGAGATTGCTAATACCAGGTTGCGTAGAAATCGACCAGTACGGGTTTGTCTGACTTCTGCAGCAGCTCATCCAAGTTGGCAAAGCTTTCCTTCTTCGCAGAAACCTAGGAAGAACCCAACAAATCAGTTGTGAGCATTTTCCCACATTTACCTACAATGAAGGTTGCATTTTGAGCACTCAAACTCGTTGAAAACCAATAGTTCATAAAAAGCTTAAGCAAAGCCACTTCAGAATCACATTCCACAATCAATGCTGTTCTACAAACTTATGGATAAAAAACATGCACCAGAACGGATAGTAGAGTGCTGATGGACTTTGCTAATAATGATCCGCCTATTCCAGCCTTGACTGCGAATTCACATTAACAGCAATCAACTGGGCATACTTAGTTCAAGACCATGGATAGTAAATATACACAGGATATCCATGATTAAAGAAACTAGAGCCATGATATATTAGACCTTCCTTTTGAACACAGAAGCTGCAGCAACTATCAACTATCTAGTTCACATAAAAAAAAAAAAACATTATGACAATTTTATGAGTTTGCCAGGGATCCACAGAAATATTCTGATATCGTAACCCCATTAGAGCAAGGGAACAAAGGGTTCAATAGGAATTGAGTATTGACTAACGAACCGTCATTAACTAACAGAAATTTCTCATCTTCTGATGATAAATAGGGTATTTTGACAATCAGTACCACAATTAATGATTTCAAAACGAGATGCAGAGAAAGCGAACTATGCACAAAACGTCTAATTGCAATCACCAGGCTACTACCAAATCAACTTGTGAAGCATAAATGATAATGGATCATTAAAGCAATCAAGGGTTAAATATTTACTCAGGCTTTCTCCAACGAGGAAAAGTTACTCAAACTCGCGATCAAAAGAATGGAAATCATTAGCATTCAGAAACTGACATTAAAAGAAAAAAACACACCACAGAAGTAGGGTCTATCAGCAAACAACATCTAGAAGGGTAAGTAACTTAAGATTCTTAGGTCTACACAGCTTAAGCATCAATAGAAGAAATGAGGAATACATCCAAGACACCGTTAAGCTTAGGCTGGGTTGAGAATTGGCAAGTTATACTATCTCCAGTACCAAAATCTGATCATCCTGACTGATTTCAAGAACAATGGGAATTCTGATTAGTAATCAGCATCTTGCGTGATTTCACTCTTGATGTTCTTCAAAGTTTCAATCTTTAGGCAGACAACATTTTGCCCACATATCTATCTTCCAACTAAGTGATCATGTCAGCAGCTGAAAAGATGTTTTAAGACTGACGGGTTCATACTGGAGAAGAAGGGTCTCTCCGGAATAGGGCTTCCTCGGAGACAACAATTTCATAAACAGACTCCAAGAAGTGCAATGGCGGAATTCTTCCGCAAACCTAGACAACAGTGAGGACAATACAGCCAAAGAAAACCACCGGTAGGTGATGTCAAACTTCTGAACTATAGATTTCTCATCCCTTTCAACTTCGTTTCATAATGCGAGGGAATCGAAAGTGTCCACAAAAAACACACCAAATAGGCAAAAAACCCCATCAACTTAGTTCCAATTCGCCATTGAAGCTCGCAAGACATCAGTTCAAATCCGCCACAGAAAAGTCGTGTTTTCTTTTTACCTTCGGTAGGATTCGAGAAGGTCCGGCGGGGGACGACATCCGTGAATTGGAGAGCCAGTTAGGTCTCAGCTGGAACGGAAGCTGTGTCGCGGAGGAAATTGAAGATAGCTTGGAAGAGTAGGAATGGTAGCTCACGGAATTCGGGGTTCCGAAAGAAGATGTGATTGCCGACGAAGCAGAGATGGAAGAAATCGCCATTTTTTGGTGGGAAGATGATTTTTCGATTACTCTCTGCTAGTGCGACTGCTAGAGATAAAACAAAAAACCTCCGACGATTTTGGAGTGAAGGAATCCAAGCACAGAGATATCTGTTTTTCTGAGCGAGGAAGATGAATAGGACAATTTTTTGGAAGGAAACGGCAAGAGAGCAAGGTTGTCATCCGGTTTTGGGTCCGGTCGAGCGAGTGAAGGTTTAATGATTGGACCGGATTAGTTCGGAACTCCAGATTAGTCCGAATTAGTATGGTCTTATTGATTGTCGTAAACTTAGTTTGCGCTTTATTTCCAGAGCATGAAAAACGCCGTTCAAATTTACAGTTGCATGACCATTGAATTAAAGTAGGACAAATTTGTAATTAAAGAAATAATTAAGGGTAGAAAGACAATTTACCATCATGGATTTTAATCCATCACCCAAATCCCACCTCAAAGGGTGGAACTTCCAAGTCCGTGGGGTTCACGGATTTGGAATCCCAAAAGTGGTGGGCCCCACAAATTCCATCTCCCTAATTCCATAAGGCAAACGATGGATTTCGGGTCAAGTCCATGATAGATATATTTCCATGACCAAATCCATCACCAAAACCCTCAAGCAAACGACCCCTTAAGCTAAGAATACCTTCAGACTACAAATCGGTATAACGAATGACTTACACTTTATTAGTTTAACTAGTATTAACCCATTAAAACATAATTAAAGAGCTGTACATTATAAAGAAGAATATTACAAGTAGAACACACATAAATTTTAAAGAAATTGCTAAAATGCACACTCAAAAGATATTTTCTTCAATAAAATGAAAATGTTCAATAAAAAAAAAGGGGAAATGAGGAAATTAAGAATCAAATTGGGGTTGGTTAGTAACAAGGGGAACTATGCAATTATGGAGCAAACTAGAGTTGACTAATGGTATGGAAAATGAGCAAGTTTAAGGATCCATATAAATCCTCTTATAACTAGCTTTTTACCCGCCCGTTGACCGGAGAAATTTATTTTATAATTTATATGTTTAAATCATTTTGGTTCTTCTAAATATTTTGTAACAGAGTTTGTAGTATGTCTATATTGAAATTTCCAATATTTAGCACATTCACTTGTGATGCTTCGATGTTCTAATAATAAATTATGCCGCTGCCACGTCCCATTTAGAACTTATGTTAAAATTTGTCAACCAAAACACTAATATTTAGCGTACGCCAACCTGAACCACATACACATATATATAGTTCAAGCTAGCGTGCGCCAGGAGTACGCTATACTTTTGCTTTCATACTACCATACGTCCATTGAGTTTTACTATTTAGACCCGAATTAACCAGAGTTTTTTGGGGCATGATACTATACCCTAACCTCTAATAGGTGAACTCCAGCCCCTAATTCTGTAACCTCTAATTTATGCACATACTTCGTAATACCTATCTTCTATCATATCTTGAGTAAAATAAAAAGTATAGTATACCTTGATATTACATATACATGTATATGTGTGTGTATTAGACTCAAAATTATCTAGAGATCTCGCTTTTAACCCCATAACGTTAGACAACTATTGGGGTCGTCTATCGTTCGATATATAATATATAAAGAGGCAAATACTAAGATCCTACTATTTATTTCTTATCCTCTCCCACCGCCCCCTTTATGGAGAATAAAAGGGTAGGGATGACAGGATCATAGCTCGATATGGTATTATTATGTTCATCGTATAGGATGTTATGTTCTTTTTTGCTTTTTTTCTTCTTCTTTTCATTCTACTTTAGCACCTATGGTTGTGATCAGAGGTATTTAGCCCCCGAAAGGGATTGGGATTTTAGGTCCTTTGGAAATCCAATACACATTCATGATCCTCGAGTTTGGACGAACTCTCGACCAATGTTGTAAAGATTAGGACTTTTTAGTGAGAAATTCTTAGTAAAGATACTTCATTATTGGATTTTTTCATCCACATTGAAACTTGACACACACCGTATCCCTCATGATGACTAAATTCTCTAATCTCGACTCATTTTCATTTTGGATGTTTGTTTTTTTATCCAGACACTTAAATCCAGTATATTATACAATATGTATCAATTGTTAATTCTTGAAGTTTATATTAAACCTCAACCGGTGGTCATTGTTTATATGTGGGCTTAGAATCTCAATCTAAGGCACTCACACACACTATCGAGGATTTTGGTCTTAACATGGTCGTTGAATGTGTAATTTTCAAAGATTTTATCACTTATATGTTAATAATTGATAAAGAGTGTCTCCAATACACACATATTTCAAGTGCATTTAAAATGTCTTATCATTTGAACAATATCAGTGGATTTCATTTGATTATTTGCATTAACTTATTATCTTACACAACATATATCAATTCGTGTTTCTCGAGTTTGGACGAACTGACAACCAATTTTGGGAGTTGAGATTATTGGATAAAGATACTTGATTGCTGGATAAATATGTTTATCCCAATTGACTATCTTACTAAAAATTGCCAACCTTTATTTGGCAAATGCCTAGGTTAGTAGTTGATGAAACGTGATGTTTATTGTAGATTCTCAACAAAGGTTTTTCTAACCTTCACTTCTATTATTTTTCAAGGAATCTTGTATCTCATCCTATAGTATGAAGTCAAAGTTCGTCAAAAATCATACTTACGTCATTTTGAAAATTTTGATTTATAATCGTCGACGATAACTCCAAGTCTGAAAGAAAATTTCTTAGCATACGACTTAGAACCTCAATAGAGCTTGCTCAATCAACATGATATAGAGAAAATATTATTAATGTGAACTTAGGACATATTATCAAATTATTGCACATGCGATTCCTCTTCATTTGAGGAATTTAAGGTAGAACATGATCTGCATGAATAAGAAGTTTTTTTTAAAAATAAATAACTGTAACTACTCAATCAAGATAATACTCTGACATTTTGCTAAATAATAATTGTTTTATTTTATGGATATATACTGTAGGAATAAGAGAGTGTTTCATTGCAACAAAATATAAAGTAATATAGTTTACTTTTCAAAGGTAATTGAATGTCAAATGTTTATTTTCTCTCTTTTCATATATATATTTTGGTAATCGATCAAACCTGATTAAACCTTATGAAGGAAATTTTCTACTCATTTTACTAAAATTGAATGATAAGTTACATTTTGATGAAAAAATTTAACAAACTGTTAAATTTTTTCATCAAAATGTAACTTATCATTCAATTTTAGTAAAATGAGTAGAAAATTTCCTTCATAAGGTTTAATCATATACTTTTTATTTAAACAAATGTGATATATGTCACTCTTTGTTTTCTTATTAATATTTTGTTTATTTAACAAAAAAATATTATTTATGTGTGTTTGGTTAAGTTTATCAACATGTAACTTATTATTAAAGACAAAAAAAATAAGTGGATAAATGAAAAAGAATAATTGGATAAAAGAAATGGAAATATTAAAGAAGAAAGAGGTAGCTCCATAAATACATTAATAACTAATTTTTTGTTTGTAAAAAAGTTGCCCAACTTGGCAAATTGTGGATCTTCCAAGTGCTTATGTGGCAAAAGTTTTTTTTTGAATTGCCATAATGTATAGTATAGATAGATATAGATATAGATATAGATAGATAAATATAGATAGATAGATAGATAGATAGATAGATATAGATAGATATAGATATGAATGTATTAATGTCATATCCATATAATTTACTCCTTAATGTGTATTAACCCTATATTGTCTATAACATCGGGAATCTCTATGCCCTCAGATGCATGTGTCTTGTTACATCTGCGATAGGACTAAGGAAATGAGACCCCTTATCCCATACTTGTCCTAGGTGCATAAAGGCTTTTCTACCCTATTGAGATTAGCAGGAGAAAGAGGAGAAATTCATGTAATAAAAATAATCAAAATGACTCAACAAGTGTCGCACCTCTTATTTGCATATGACAGTTAAGTGTTTGCCGATCCTCAAAGGCGAAAAGTGAAGTAGAGAAGAATATTTAGAAGCTATGAAATGGAATCTAAACATAAGATCAATTTAGCCAAATCAGAGCTAACATTCAGTAAGAAGGTTCCAGAAGACGGAAGAAATGAAATAGGGGAGATTCTAGGAATTAAAGAAGTCGACAAGCATGAAAAGCATCTTGGATTGCCGACCATGGTGTGAAGAGAAAAAATCATCTTTGCTGGCTTTAAGGAGAGGGTGTGAAGCAAACCAAAAGGCTGGAAGTTAAATACGATATTCATAAGCAGAGGAGGTAATGATCAAGGCTATTGCTCAACTACAGATTCTATATCCGATGATGGTCTTTCAAGTCCCTAAAGGAATACCTGATTAAATTGCATGATTGATATCTAGCTTTTGGTGGGGATAAAAAGGATAAGAAAGCTTCATTTAATTTATTGGATAAATTGGAATATAATGTGTGACGAGAAAAGTGAGGGGGGGGGGGGGGGGGGGACGTTGGGTTTCCGTGATCTTCGTGTTTTCAATAAAGAAATGTTGGTGAAACAGGTATGAAATAGAATGAATATATCCAATTCTTTAGTGGCGAGGATGCTTAAACCCATGTATTTTCCGAAAACAGATATCTTGCAAGCTAAGGTCAGGACAAAAGCGAGTTTTGTTTAGAGGAGCTACATGAGGGCCAAGGATGTGTTGAGAAAGGGGAACTAAGATGTCAATTTGGAAAGGGAGATCAAATGAAGATGTAGAAGGATAAATGGATTCCACATAAATCCAGTTTTTGTTCAGAGTTTATTCCTAAAGGAGTTGACATTGAAACCACTGTATCAATAGTGATCGATAGGAATATGTGTGAATGGGATGCTAGATTCTCTGTGCACAGAGGAGGATAGAAATCATATATAAAAATCCCAATATGTGATCCAATGAAGTAGGATGAAAGAGTTTGGACCCTACATCTGAAAGGAGAGTATACGGTGAGGTCGAGGTATACAGTGTGCATGCAATTACTCAAAGATACAAGGAAAGATGAAGCTACCATTCCTTGGAAAATTATAAATTTTGGACTATGATACGGAAGATGAAGGTTCAGCCTAAGGATAAAGTATTCCATGGAGAGTAATTCTAAACATCTTACGTACTAGAAGTCAGCTGGG